AGGCGGTTTGCCCGGCACGTGGGAAGAGACTTAAAACATGTCTGGATTGCGATTGAGAAAACCCCGAAGCCAGGATGAGACCGGACGAAAGCGGGATCGGTGCGAAACGCTTCTGGGGCGAGTGCCGTGACAGAGTTTTTTTGGAATAGGGCAGAGGGCATATTACTTACCACCACACTGCCAACTGGGATGGACTCGCCATCCGGTTCCCTGGGTTTGCGAGGGGCCGCTTTTTGTGTGGGGCGTCTTCCACCTTTCTGTATCTCCTACAACTCCTGTTTGCCTACAACCTCATCAATCTGGACCGAGAATGGTTGGTGACAGATCCGACGAAGCAGATGAAGATTACGTTTATGGACATCGCCGAACAGCTGATGCAAACACGAATGGATGTCGAGTACGCCCTGAGCCTATTCAGGTTCGATGAAGCTGAAGCCAGCGTTAGCACCAGCTACAAAAAGACCCAAACCAAGGAAGGTTCCTTGGCCGGGCGGCCACAGCTCCAATTCCTCCCCTCATGCGACGAAACGTCTAAGGAAGCCAAAAAGCTCCATAAAAGCGGCCTTTCCGATGAACAACTTGTTGACGAAGCCGAATCTGTTGCGTGGCTCGAAAAGACATGCAACGCCGCAGACGAACCAGAACATTCCCTAACCCGCGACAATGGATGGGCAGCAACAAGAACTGAAGCCTTCCGTACAGTTCCACCTACTGTTGTGCTGTGTGTAGTCAACAAGAACGCCGTCCGGCTACTGGGCGGGGACACACGGCCCAAATGAGAGAAGAAAGGTACCCCCCAAAAATGCGCTTACAACGCTGTGTGATTTTTGTCGTTTGTGATTGGTGACTTGCTGAAAACGAGGACGGTTCGAGCGTAGTACGAGTCTTGTTCCTCGATGGGGTCGTTACCGGTGTACCCGTACCAGAATGAGTAGCGGTAGATGGCAGAGGGATCTCGTTGCGGGATATTGATCATTCGGAGTTCGGTAATGCTTCGCAACGTCTCCAACTCTTCGGAGTCAATAGCATACTTCATGCTCACCGAGTCGTCAGGGCTATGGCCGACGTTGAAGTGGACCGCGGGTCCGTATAAATCCAAGTCGGCGTATAGCACTAACAGTTTGGCGACCCACTCACGCTTCGTCAACGCTCTGTACACCTGCAGGTCCACACCCTTCAGCTGCGACTCCCAGTCCTTTTCACCCGTCCAAGTGTCTGTGGCCCCGAAGGCGTAATCATGCGCCGGATAGTAACCGTAGCGGTGCGCGCCGTTCAGCTTGTCCAACAGGGTTAACAACTGCTCCTCACTGCGAGACTCCACCTTGCTCGCTATCTGTGACGCTACCTCGTTCCCTTTGCCCTGCTCAACCTCAGACTCCTGCTCCTCCACACCACGCCTCCGCTTGAGCCTAGACCCAGAGACAAACCCAAGACTCTCGCTCGACCTTGTCTCGCCCTTGGAGTCCTGCTTGACCTCCGCCTTGACAACACCGCCGCTTCCGCTGTCGCCACGTTCGCTGCCAGTGGAGTCGATGCACACGTCGTACGTCAGTGTCAACCTGGTGCCCTTTGTGACCGGCGAGACTTCGTGGTCCACGTCACAGAAGAAGCAGGCCCAGTTCATGACCTGGTCGGTGCCGCCTGCGTCGGCGCTGCCTCTGTCGGGGTTGTTTTCAGGCGCAAGGGCGGACTGGCTCCAGTCGAAGTCGATTTGAATGCCACGGTTGTCTACGAGTGAGAGCACGCCCCCTTCAAAGCTCGTGGGGCAGCAGACGACGACTGAGGCGACCATGCGCGGGTCACGGATGGTGTCCTTGTGCTTGGCGAAGTGTGCGCCTTCGCCGTATACGTTCAGTTTGTGTGGCTGGAGGAAGAAACTGCGGCCAC